AAGCCTCTGTGTTTTCAAAGACATGATAACAAAGAGGTGGTCACTAGGTCCTCCCCACCCCCACATTTTTCGTGACACACTACATCTAGCAAACCATGCCTCTTGTCAGCAGTAAAATGACCCTGGACAAAGCCCACCACGGATGGATCAGGATTTATGCTCTGCTCCAGGAGCAAGAATACCTTTCAGTATCACTCAGTGACTTTAATACTCAAACTACTAGTTTCAATAAACTGAAATCACAACTTGTCACAAAACAGATAGCAGTTGAACAGGGCACTGTGCAAACTTTCCCACAGTTCTTTAGCAGTATGTCAGGTTGTGACCCTGGAGAGGAAGGGCAAGGGTGAAAATTAGCCATTGAACTCACTCTATTAATCCATGGTGTAGTGTTGGAGATTCCCAGAAAGCATGCCTACTGGAGTCAGTTTTGATATCTCTTTATTATTGTAAAATGGATTTATTTAAAAAAGAATGAAGTGGTGAAATAAGGGCTTTGAAGTCTGTTGCAATTTTTCTTTATGATAAGGGGTAAAGGAGTCTCTAGTTTTAATTCACTTGGGAGATTCTTTTTCTTATTAAAAATCTATAGAAAAAAATGCCTTTTAGCATTTAGCTAGATTATAGACATAGACAACTATCCAAGCATACTGGCTTAAAGTGTCTGTTTTATAAGTTATGTTATTCATTTGTAGATTTTTATGCTATAGAGACATTATCAAAGAGCTGCGTGAATCAATTTAAACGAGATATTTCTGATTACAAATTGTTATAAAGTTTACTTTTTGTGATGGTTCTTCACTTTAACAAAAACTGGTGTTTTTTCTAATGAACAGTTGTCTGATCATCACAGATCACAAGGGTCCACTCCACTGGGGAAACTCTGCTTGTCTTTCCTGTTCCTGTCCCAGGATTATGAAGTTATGTGCGTCCTTCTCATTGCTCCTGCTACACTTTTCACTCAGCTTTATTACAGTTCTTGCAACCCTGCATAATAATTCTGCATTTACACTTCTATCATGTCTACTAAATTGTGCATGCCTTGAGAGCTCGACTATGTCTTAATTATACTTATAATTCTGGGGTGAGCAGTCAATTGAGCAGGCACTCAATGTGATGAATGCTTCAGAAGGCACTTCCATTTCTCTTTAGAAAATTATCAACATTAGAAATTACTATGTTCTCAAGGAAGGCAAGATTCTCTGCTGTCATTGCAGTTAAAGCAATCAACACTACATCTACCACACAGCACAACTACAATTTCTGCCTTCCATTAATTCCAAATTCTTCAGTTTGTTACATTTCTAAGGAAAGAGATAGCTATTTTTATCACCAAAATAACAGAAGTTAAGAAAGAGACTATTGGTACCCCATAGGTCTGCCTTGGGCTTAGGACAAAAGTGAAAAGAATAAAATAGATTATATAATCTATACAGTAAGATTTTTGGTTAGTAAAAAGTTACAAGAAGTAAAACTGCACTTCACCACTGACTACTGCCTTTATTTCTCACACTAGACTTCTAGTCATTGAGGAAAAGCGTGCACTCTGCAGAATACTGTGTGCTACTGAGCATCAGTCAGTACTCTATCCCAGAGGCCACCACTCCAGTTCTCAGTATTACAGAGTCAAAATAGAATGATAGAAAGGAGAAAGGAGTGTAGAACTCATAGGTGACTACTGATTTAGTTCACCTCTAGTGTTTGTCTGATTGTTTCTACTTGCTTATGTGGTAAATAATAATAATAATAATAATAATAATAATAAATTAATTAATAAATCCTGAAAAACTAAGGAACGGAAAAGCCAGTGTTTGCAAGCAGTAAACTTGAAGGCACTAAGCAAGCACACTGCTTACATCTGCTTCTTCAAAAGTGAAATAGAGTGTATGCTTTAGTTCTGAACTTAGAGACCTTGGTATGGCCCTGTGCTATTAATGCTAATAGTACTTTGCAATTGCCCTTGACCTATGTGTCAGAAGGGCTCTTTCTAAGTTAGTGAAAATAATAGTGGTCAAAGACTTGGCATTGCATCAATTTCCTTTACAACAAAAGGTATCTTTTAATAAAAAGATGAATAAAAATTCAATAAGCTTTCTTTTTATCTACCTTATTACTTTTATTTTTGAGGTTATATTATAATTGCTTCACTTTTCCCTTTCCTTTCTCCAAACCCTCCCATATACCCATCATCTCTCTTTCAAATTCAGGAGCTCTTTTTTCATTATTGTTATTACATGTATATATTCCTAATACAATCTCTATAGTATTTCTCAGATGTATGTCTTCAGGGCTGATCAGGGTATTGGATAGCCAGCTGGTGCTCTTCCTTGGGGAAGACTGTTCCTCCCACTCTCCATTGCCTGTAATCATTTAAACAAACTTTCTTCTCTTGTCTTTGCCAGATTCCAGAGATAAAGGGACTAGAAATAGGGCTTGTTACAATCTCACATAAAATGTGGCCAAGCTAAGTTTAGTTAAGGGTTTTCCAGCTTCTAGTAATGTCAGACACCATTTGAGTGTTCAGTATTGGCTCTGGTACGGTTATGATGCTCTACTCTAAAAGATACCCAGAACCCAGTTGCCTTTTACTACCTGAACTGGCTGTCACTGGTCTCTCTCATGTTCCCGTCGCCCACAGTACTGGACTGGCTCTCACTGGTTTCCTTCGTGTTCCCGTTGCCCACAGTACTTACTCCTCAGATATCCATCAGGTCAGATCAATCCTCAACTCAAATTCCTCCAAAGCATTCTGTCCTTCAAGAGAGATCCATGGTTTTCAAATGCCCACTGCCCTCCTTCTCCCCTGTCATCTAGTACACACGTTCACAATCTATTTCCTCAGTCTTTCTGGCATCCTGAATATTGCTAGTAAGCCAGCTGTAGCCGCTTCTCTGGCCTTTGCAGGATCTGCTCCTCCGGGCAAACCACGGCTCACTCTGTTACCTCTTTTTTCTTCATCTCCTGAAGATTCTGTGCACACAAGCGCTCCGCATCACATTTCCCATCATTTAATTCCAGCATTATATTTATCACTTGAAACGTGCCAGAATGAAGTCATCTTCTTCGGTCCAAAACTCCATGAGCACAGGGATTATTTTAATTGTTTTGTGCATTGCTATTTCTCTATCATATACAATCCTGGTTGTGATAAAGCAATGAAGACTTCTCAAAAATATGAAACTTTTTATGTCCTTACCCAGCTTCTGATTAAGATGTGGTATTATTATTGGAAGAAATCTTGCTTAGAGGTTTACATACACATATTTTTCAAAAGCTGTTTGTGCCTGCCTTTGTTTGCTGGTCTCAAAATTCTATGACAGCAAATTAAGTTATTAAAGTCCCAAGTGAAACCAATTACACTGTGTTTTAATGAACGAGATATTTTCAATACCTACTTTGGTGGAGTGCAGGACTTGGAAATGAGAGCAGTGAAGGTAAGAACCACAACCCATAATCTTGGCAGGCAAGGCAAAGCATGTGGCCAACTCGCCACCAGACATCAGAGGACCAGTTCTAGTCTTTGCTGAGAAGAATCCTCAAGACCCCAGACCGAGGAAACTACCATAATGTTAAATTGTGCAATTACATTGGGTTATGTAAGACTACTAAATTAACCCATGCATTCTAAATCTTTTTCAATATAAAATTAGTAAGTTAAAGGTGAGGTAAGCTTGTGTTGCCCATTTAAGAGTTATCCTATGACAAATAAATATACTCCTGTGTGGGTATACAGAGCTTTTCTGGCACTGATAGCTAATAAAATTTAACTGAAAATCTCAGATGATGCTTAAGGTTTCACACAAGTGTAAACTACTGTGGCTACAATTCACAATACATTTAAAATGATTGTTCTTTATCATTAAAGCTAATAATATGCACATTAACCTCTTATGTAGTCTAAATCAATATTGTAGTTTAAAAGATATGACCTCTGGACAGCTTTGTCCAAATATTGATTCCATTGTCATTTGTATAAGGTATCAGACGAAGTGCATGATACACCAGCACCATCCCTGCTCTTCTCAGAGAGCCTTTGACTTTGTGAGTTCTTATGAAATGAGACAAAGAAACGGAGACATCCCAGAATGTACACATGGGATGGATATCTGAGTATAGCAAAGCAGAGTCACATGGAGAGATAATGTCCAGGCCCTGAGACAAAGAAACGAAGACATCCCAGAATGTACACATGGGATGGATGATCTGAGTATAGCAAAGCAGAGTCACATGGAGAGATAATGTCCAGGCCCTGAGACAAAGAAACGGAGACATCCCAGAATGTACACATGGGATGGATGATCTGAGTATAGCAGAGCAGAGTCTCTATGGAGAAATAACGTCCAGGCCCTTTATTTCCAAAAGACATTAAAAGCAGAAGTGCACTTTTAGCATGCCAATTGCCTGTTGATCTTGAGTTCCAAATAGCAGACTTACTCAGCCTCATAGGCTCTGATTTTCTTTACCTTTTTATGAATCTCATGGATATCTCAGGGGAAAGTAGTTCAGCCATAGTCAACTTCAAGTGGTGTCCTTTGGCAGTAGAGCCATTTTCTCTCAAGTTACTTGTTTGGAAGGCCCTCTGATGAGTTTCTAGTGAGCGAGTTAAGTTGGAAAGTGTAGCTGTAAGATGGAAGAGATTGACTGTTCAAATGGTCACAATAGAACCAAGAACAGAAAGAGGATGGGCACACTGCACTTTCGCACCACACTGTAGTGTTCTCTGTGTTGAAAATTATAACAGATCAGGAGTCAAGCTATATACTTTGGCCTCAGGTTCTAAATCTCTGCAAAGCATAACAATTGCTAATATCCTGTTACATCTGTTTTTATGAGATTTGCTATTTTAACTTGTAAGTTTTTTTATTTGTTGTTCATTATAAAACTTTTTGGGGGGGAAGTTTGTGATCAAAACAGATATGATCATGATACCATCAATGTGCGTATATGCTGAAAAAAACAAAAACAAACAAACAAACGCGTTCTCTGCACATCTCCCGTAGGTAAAAGTGATCCATTTTGTGTGGTAGAACTGAACAATGATAGACTGCTGACACACACTGTCTACAAAAACCTCAGTCCTGAGTGGAACAAAGTGTTCACATTGTAAGTGTAATAATTACGTCATGCTTATTTTAAAACCGGTGTGAAAATATAGTTCACCCTGAAAGTGTGTGTATGTGTGCACATGCATGCGTGCACATGCACACACATATTTGTGTATTCCAGTTCACAGTGCAACACGTTTGCTCTGCCTTTACTAACCATGAATTTCCAAACCCCCTCCCTACCTTCTCAAGAGTAAAACTTGGGAAAAAAGGGGTATGTCCTTTTTCTTTGTTTTCACTATAGACTTTTTTTTTCTGCTGTGCTTTTATGTGGCCTGACTAAGGGTTTGCTCCCCACCACTGAATCTGCATACTGCTTCTTCCTTTTGTACGTTCTATTGAAATTCTTCCCAATTGCATAAGAAGGACAAAGCTCTGTTTGTCCCACCACAGAAACTAGCAAACAATCCAGTCGGGTTTGGCAGATGCTTCTTCTGGCCTTGTTTCATTTTAGCACAATAAGGACATTAAGCATTGTCCTAAATCTCAAAACAAGCTTTGAGTTAATTTTCCTTTGTTTTAAGAAGTTTGTAAATCTTTTGCACTGTGCACCGTGGAAGCTGTGCATGCTGCACTGTAGGAGTGGACGAGTCCCTTCTTTTAAACTGGGCTGAAGAGAATGGGTTCCACAAAGCAGAACTCTCCAAACAGAAGTACTTAGCAGTTTTCTAACATGGTTTTATTTCTTGTACATAAAAAACTGCTAAATTCCTCATTAATTCCTTATAATGTCGCTGCTTAAGAGCCAGTAACTAATCAGCTTTCATTATCTGACCAATTTATTTTTAAGGAATTCCACATTTTTATAAGAGATGAAAGCCTAGTCAGGAGGCTTGCACTCCTGAGAGGGCCATGGAGAGTGTTTTCTCTAGAATGCATAATTGAATGAATAGGTTTGATTATTATCAAAGCGATTAATTGATTGTGCCCTGGTAAAGCCTCTTTTCACGTGCAGTTATGGTGTTTCAGTAATGAATATATTCTTTTTAGTTTTCTATTCATTCGGATTTTCTTGGTAAACAATTGATCAAAAAATAAAAGCTGTCAACAATTGATACTTATTTTTCTTGAAGCAAAAATATGCAGAATTCACATGTTTTTTTTTACTATCATGTGTTGTCTTTTAATCTTACTGGCATATTGGGATATAACTTTTTTTTTCTAAATCCAGTCTCTATTTTGATTTCTCTGCTTGCTACAAACCTAACTTAGTAAGTGCAACAGTAAGAACTATAAAAGATGGACAGGTCATAGTATAGTGAAAACAATAAGAGTTCAAAAATCTATGTGGCTCTTACTGGTAGCAAACCTGTGATAGCTTACACAGGAGTTATGCAATTGTATGATTTATTGTTAAACGTGACAGAGAAGCCTAAATATTGCCAGCAGTACTTAGTGATTTTTCCAGCAATTTATTCTTTGCATATCCAGCTCAAAAGTGATGTCATTCAAAAAGACCTGAAATTTACAGCCGTCTTCAGAGTTCCTTATGCTATGACCCTTGCTGTTGTCACGTTAGACGTATTAGGAGAAACTTTCAGCTTCCACCCTACCCTGTATATGTATATCTGTGTGCAAATAATACACGTAAAAATAAAAATACAGAAAACAGCTAGTTCTAAGATTTCAAAACCTCTCTATCTTTGCTAATGGAGTCTTTTTCCCTCGGGTTTGTTTATTACGCAGCAACATTAAAGACATCCATTCAGTCCTGGAAGTGACAGTTTATGATGAAGACCGTGACCGCAGCGCCGACTTTCTGGGCAGAGTTGCTATACCATTGCTGTCTGTAAGTTTCAGTCACCTGACGCACTGTTCCGTGTTGCTTTTGCTCAAGGAAAAAAAAAAAAAAAAACCCTCAGCTCTATGTCTGTCATTTCTCAACCAAGGTCTGTAATAAGAACACTAAAAATTTTAACATACTCAATGCACGGCCATGTTGAATCCCATGATAGTTAATTTTTCTTGACAGACTTGATCCTGGTAATGAACAGGTACTTGTCAGAATTGCCACAGTTGTTTTGGGTTCTCTGTCAGTTTCAGCAGCTGGGGGTCAAAGGTCACTGGGGGAGTGTATTCAGTGGAGACCGTGAGACAGACGGCTGTCATGTCCTTTTCCCGCAGATTCAAAATGGTGAACAGAAAGCCTACGTCTTGAAAAACAAGCAGCTGACAGGGCCAACAAAGGGGGTCATCTATCTTGAAATAGATGTGATTTTTAATGCTGTAAGTCTTAACTTTGGCTTTTTTGTACTGCTAAAGAGTTCAGTTTCATGAAAGCTTTTGTTCCTGATTTGTAGAGAATTTCTGTCATTCCTCATTTTCTCTAAACCTTGATGTATCTTGGAGAATATGCTTCTGGCACACCCACACTTTCTGCTACAGTGGGGCCGCCGCGGTGTGCTTGGCTGCTGCCCGCCCGCCTGCCTGCCTGCCTGCCTGCAGAGGGATGCGCATGCATATGCAACTGTATACATTTATATTTTATGAGCACAGCAGCCAAGACTTTGAAACTTTAGAAATTATTGCAAATTGAACTGCATGCAAAACTTGTGAACAGTTGTAATATATGAACCCCTAACACACATGTGTTGATGCGTAGGTGAAAGCCAGCTTACGAACATTAATACCCAAAGAACAGAAGTACATTGAAGAGGAAAGCAGGCTCTCCAAACAGGTAAAGAGAAAAAGAAAGAAAGAAATATTAATCCCTCTGGGAAAAACTGATTGATTCTGTAAAATATCAGAGTAAATTCAAATAAACCTTGGAGGTCTGGAGGGGGGACGTCCTTAGAAATTTTGATCACCTACATATTGAAAACGGCTTTTTTTTCCTTTCTTTTCCTTCCTTGAAAAGATCAAGCAAAGGCAAAACCAAAGTAAGCAGTGAGATTGGGGTGGTAAGGAAGGAGAAGGGAGCTGGGGCTGTGCACCAGTGGAGGGGGGTCATCTGCACCCTAAACTACAATTTGATTGTCACAGAGTGTGTGAGGGAGGTTCAGAACCGTGCACAGACCACCCAGGTATGATGCAGGTGTGCGGTGAATGAAGGCAGGACTTCCTTCTAATTCAGTGAGGGGTCTTTTAATTAGATGTTAACAACATTCCCTTCAAGTGAACTCTCACTGACATTTTCTACTAAAACAAAAACCAGGAATTCTGATCTTCCTTGTATGATGCTGCCTTAAACTAAGATTGGTATTTATCAATAATAACTTAAAATTTTCTTTAATATCAAGTTAAGAAAGTGCTACCTACCCTTTTTAAATGTTTACTACAGTTTACAAAGCTAAAATACAATGTGTTTATTATGGCTATAAAGTCACTGAGCTTACTTTTACTGTTAAATATTTGATAATTTTGTGAGCCATGAGAAACCATAAAATATTTTTATTTTTAATCTAGTAAATTCACCACAAAATGAGACTTTTGGCATTTAAACAATGTGTGTTACAAATGACTTATCTAAATAGAAAACCATGTTATATTTCTCTATAATTTATAAGAATAATAATAAAAATTGTTCCTAAAAAAGGTGCTAGGAACCAAGAAGGAAAATACACAGGGAGACTCTCTGACTAAACAAAATTCCAGTTTTAAATGTGTTTTAACCGCCATGCACACACATGAACTAATTTTATACATGTGTACTTTTGTCATTTGAACTCAGGTAATTTTACATATCTGTTTCTTTAAAATACCAGATTGATACTGGACTATATTTAGAGTATTAATATATTAACTTGCAGACTTATGATTAGTTTAATTATCCATTTCTGTAAGTAACTTTTTAACCCATTATCTAGTTCATAGATATCTTTTTGTTGTTGAAGTCATGCTATAGCTTTTGTTTTAAATTTAAATTCTGTGAGTTATCATACGTATTTTTTCTAATAAGAGATTTTGCAGCATACTCAGTTATTATAAAAGTTTCCTAGCTTTTAAATCATAGGAAAATAAAGAGAAAATATAGAGTGAGGGATGGTTATAGACAGAACAGTCCTATTAAGTGGAAAAAGCCCTTGAAATCACAGTGCTTCTATAATAAACTGCATTAGACAGGCTTAGAACTCTGAACATTTCAAGGTATCCAATTCACTTTGAAGCATCTTGAAATTAAAATATTTAATCTATCTTAAAAAGAAGAGAGTTCAAATTAACAGGGGTACATGTTTCATAAGTAGCAGATTTTTTTAATGAACAAACATACCAGCTTATATGAAAACATTATTTTTAAATATACATTTAGCTAAGAAATAGTTCATCCCATCTAGTTCTTCATCCATTAGTGCTTCCTGTCCTTTACCTAGTGAGCCAAATCACTTGGTATCTTTGTCACCTTATTGCCTCTCTGGGTCCATTCTAAATCACCACGAGCTTGTAGAATCATACAATATACTTGATTGTTCTCAGTCTTGTAAACTCTAATACTGTTTGTGTTTTCCTTACAGCTGCTTCTGAGAAACTTCATCAGAACGAAGCGCTGTGTCATGGTGCTGGTAAACGCTGTGTACTACGTTAACAGTTGCTTTGACTGGGACTCACCCCCAAGGAGTCTTGCCGCTTTTGTGGTATGATCACACTCTACTGCTTGCCCGTTGTTGTGCATCAGATTCAGCAATCTCAGCTCCAGCGCTCTGTGGCTATAGTAACAGTTATGTTGATAGAGTCATTTTAAAACTCCTATTTTGAGACTTGACTAGACAGATTTGCTGTGGGCAGGAACCTGATGGATTGTTCAGGGTCTGAATCCAAGAATATATTCCTCAGATTTCCGGAATGCAAGACATCTTAGTCAAATTTTCTCTGACACTTAAAAAGTAAAATTTTGCATATTGTACAATTCCAGATCCAAATAGGAGAGTCAAAAAAATACTTCTCTGTGGAGAAAACAAACAAGCAAACAAACAAAGACAATGGCAACAGCCCTGACCATCCACACTTTGGTTTTATTTATTCTGTAAGTATTTTCAGGAAAGGAACGCCACTGGCAGTAGCATGCTGGTTGGTAAGCTTTAATAAATGAGCAGAGCACAAAGGGATGGGACCTATTTGAGAGATGATTCTGTGGTTTCTAGTTTTAAAAAGTCACAAATGAGAATGTAATCGAACAGATATTCTCCACACAAGGTTCATCCTCTACCCTTTTACACAGATCATTTAAGAAATGATACTGAGACCAACTAGCAGCAGCAGAACAATCTAAAAAGGCACTTTCTCTGGACCTAGCTAGGATCTCTGTACTCACACTATTTCTGCTTGGTCGACGTTTTACCTGAGGTTTCTGTGGAGTCCATCTTTTGAAAGGCTTTATTTTGTGTTTGCTAGGAAATGAGCATCTTACACTTTCTTGAAGTTGCCAGTTTTGCAAAATATGACATTATTATGAGGGTTTACAGAAAGGCCTTAATTAGAGTACCAATCGACTTTTATATGACGGTCTAATGAATGTATGTTTTAGTCCTTCGAGTTCGGTCCTCTGCACAGGCCATGTCTGGGAGTTTCACTAATGTCTGAGCACACGAACAAAGACTGTGTATGTCCCTTTGTGTTGTCACTTACCAGTTAGCAGCCTGCTTCCCATAGACATGTTGTTGTTTTCTTAAGGAGGTGACTGCCACCATCATTGCTTAAGAAATACTTCTCTCTGTGCTTGTCTGATAGCTCTCACATAATAGATATAGTGGGGCATTCTGATTTCCATGAGCATAGCGGCATTATGATAGTCAGCAAAACGATAGACAATTTTTACATATATATTATCATTAATTTCAGGTTCTATGGGGACTTAAATAACAATAAAACTCTACTGAAAATATCTGCTGCTATTCCTGATTGGCTTTTTTAAAGCCATCTCTGTGGCTGTTTATGAAATTTGAAAACATAAAAATGTATGTAATTATATCATTTATTCAGGATTGCTCATTGTGGACTGTTTGGCATTACAGTGTGTTGTGTGAGTCTTCATAAACTTCTTCCAGTTTCCTAAGGTCATTTTTAAAATTAATTCAAGATGGCAGCTCCTTTTTATAATCTCCTTTTGCTTCTTAAAAAGAGAAAAGAAACCACTGAAACCTGAGAAACAGAGACACCTGCCTGTAATCTCACTTACAGTGACATCATTAGAAGGAAGCAAAGCGCTGCAGAAAATGCAGTGTCTGCCTCAGTCAGTAACCAGTTTGTAACAGACCAAGCCAAATGCAAGGGGTTTGCTCTGTAAAGACTGCAATAGTAAAGGTAGGAAACGAGGATGGAACAGGAAAGAACACAATAAAATGTGAAGAAACCATTAACCATTTTGTTGGAAAAAAGAAAAAGTAATAGCACTTTACTGAATATGGTTGAAGTGATAAATATCGAGCTCTCTTTGCTGAGGCTCCGGCTGGGAGTCCATGCAGTGTTCACCCTGCTGTCTTCATGCCGCTCTCTGTCACTGAAGGGCAATAGAAGTCAGTGAGCCTCCAGGATAAACAGCCAACGAAACTCTTTGAATAAGGCTGCCAATTTAAAATTTTTCTTAAAGAAACACCAAAAAAATAAGTTTACTATAATAAATCTGATTATTAAATCATGATAAGAACTTTCAATACTATCAAAGCAATTTACCTATGAAATTCTGTTATAATCTCTTATCAATAATCTACTTAATCATAGATTGAATTCTGATATAGAAAGTTTTGTACAAATAGAAATTAATGTTTATCAGTTACTCCCTATGTGCCAGGGATCTATTGTTTATACGTAAATAAATGAAAATGCTCTTGCACTAAGAATTTAATATTTTCAACAACTTCATAATGTAGATTCTATTTTTCCTAGTATATAGGTGAAGAAACTGAAGCTCATGAATGTAGCTTGCCTTATGCCACACAGTAAATATTCTTTTCTGTAGAAGACTTTAAGATGTATACCTGAGATTTGTGATATAAATGCAGAAAAAAACTTGGTAAAAATTTTTAGCCATCTTGCAGAGAGTAAATGAGGTATTTAAAAACAAAATCATTCAAAGTTGCTATTGCATAAGCAGAGGTTTATTAGGGCAATTTGTTGAAAAGAACTGATTTCCATTAGATGAACATAGCAGTGCCCATTGTTACAGACATATTGTTCCCATCATGCCCTCTTGACAGATCATGGGTCTATTATTATAATATTGGTTCCATTTGGCCCATTTTTCCTAGCTGCAGCTGCCTCATGAAGGACATGCATTTATACCATTATGTGGCTTAGTTTTAGGGCCAGATCAGTATGCTTTTTAATGTTTAAATGAATATGAATTTTTTTCTATTCCATTTTGGTTTTCTCTTCTGATTCAGTTCTCTGAAAAACAAATGCAAAATAGTGAGGTCAAAATGGAAGAAAACAATCCTATTTTGCATCTCGGTGTCAATGAGCGTAAAAATGCAGACAGTAGCCCCAGCCTCCCAGCACCACCTGTGAGCAGACCATAGGAACAAAACCAGGGGGAAATGGCAAAGCTAAGCAGGTCGGCTTCTGGAAGAGTTTGGTTTCTAAGTTTTCTGATGAATATTATTTTTCAAAGGGAGCTCTTTTGTCTGTGGTGTAGCAGGCAGTGCTTGTCCCTGGGAATCAGCAATTGTAGACCTGGAAATATCTTACAAATTGGACTAATTTTCACCAGACTCCAGACCAGACATTTGTGTTCTCGTGGAAGCCAGTGGTTGCAGAACGGGAAGAGGAAAGGAGGGCAAGTGAGCACACATTCCTTCTCCTCAGCACTGTCATTTCTCACTGTAACGAGCACAAAAATAATTGGAAAACTGAGCTATCAGCAAAAGGACACACTTCAGTATGTGTCAGAGAATTATTTTACAGGACAAACTTTAATCTTTAAATGTGATTGTAGATAATTTGCGGTAGCATCTGTCCGTTTGGAATTGTTTTAGCCTTTTCTGTCGTTACACAGCAAGTGCTGCTGTGTTTAACATTAACATTTGATATTTTACACATTTAATTTCTGTTCTGCTGTGTGGTCCTTGGGGAATGAAACCCTAGTGCTACATGAGAGAGACAAAGTATTGATCAGTTAACATTTCAGCTACATTTATGTATGTCGCAAAATTAATGAAAATGCCAGACAAAAAATGTCAGAGTGCACAAAGAGGTAGAATTTAAATTTGATACTTTAATGAAAAGTCTTAAGATGTGCATATCAAAAATGTCCTCTTGCCTTTAAAGTCCAAATCTGTACAGAATAACTAGAAGGAAACACATACTTAGAGGAACAATGAACATGAATTATGACAAGAAAGCAGCTCCTCACGGCACCTTGTATAGCAAAACGGCATGTCTGAATGCATAAAATACTTTTGTTTCTGTTTGTATCTAAGAAGCTATTGGCTTCAACCCTCTATCCTGACCAACCCAGGCAGACTTTCTAGTAAGATTCTGGCTCTCTCTCTCTCTCTCTCTCTCTCTCTCTCTCTCTCTCTCTCTCCCTCTCTCTGTATGTGTGCTTGTAAGTGAATGAGCAGAATTCTATCTATAGTAATTCGATGAAGACCCTGGTTCATTATTAATTCTTTCCTGGGCATTTTATTTGCCTGCTTTCCTTTGCTTCCTGACAATTTTGTGTTCCCTCTTCTTTTCAAAAAGTCCCCATTTTTTGGAAAGAATCACACTTTTATTTTTCCAGAAAAGCTGGACCGTTGTGGAGGTAGAGAGAACAAACAGGATGATACATGCATAGACTCACATGTGGGAGGTATGTGTAGGCAAATGTTCCGAATTAAAAGTAAAAAAAAAAAAAATGAAGAAACCACAGGAAAAGTAGGACCCAACCTTGGGAGGCAATTGGAATAAAGGGCAGTGTCCTAAAGATCAGAGGCAGTTAGCATTCTTTACTGTGTGCTCCCTGTATACAGAGTCTGCTGCCATTAAACAGCTTAAGGATTTCTCTAACAACTATTACAAGCTACACAGGCATTGTAAGTGGCTTTCATGGTTAAGGACTGAAAGGCCATGTTAGTCAAGGAGAAATACCAATGTGAAAACAAAAGCATCTCTGAATCACTGTGGTCCCAGTCCTGGTGTATATAGCGGATGTAGGATACAAAGGCATCTCTGCATCGTTATGGTCCCAGTCCTAGCGTACATAGCAGATGTAGGATACAAGGGCATCTCTGCATCACTATGGTCCCAGTCCTAGCGTACATAGCAGATGTAGGATACAAGGCATCTCTGGGTCGCTGTGGTCCCTGTCTTAGCATACACAGCGGATGTAGGATACAAGGGCATCTCTGCGTCGCTGTGGTCCCTGTCTTAGCATACACAGCGGATGTAGGATACAAGGGCATCTCTGCGTCGCTGTGGTCCCTGTCTTAGCATACACAGCGGATGTAGGATACAAGGGCATCTCTGCGTCGCTGTGGTCCCTGTCTTAGCATACACAGCGGATGTAGGATACAGGGCATCTCTGCATTGCTGAGGCCCCAGTCTTAGCTTACATAGTGGATGCAGAAGGTAGGGTAATTGTGCTGGATCTAGAGAAAGCACTTCACATTTACAGCAGAAGTTTCTGTTTGGAGAATTTAATAGACACCAGTAATAC